ATTATCACTTTTATTGTCTTCTGAGTTTTTCACCTTTTATCTCATTCATTCTTTTCTCCAGCCATTCAAAACATCTATTTAGTAGTTTTTTCAGCTATTTATTTTTATACTCAGTATTTCCTGTTGGTATGCCTTAAATACTTATCTCTACTCTTCCGTGGTCTTTATTTTATTTTACTTTATTTTATTGTATTTTATTTTATTTTATTTATTTTTGAGACAGGGTCTCAGGTCACTCCAGATGGAGTACAGTGGGGCCATCACAGCTCACTGCAGGCTCTACTTCCTGGACTCAAGTGATCCTCCCACATCAGTCTCCTGAGTAGCTGGGATCACAGGCACACACCACCATGTCCAGCTAATTGTTTTTATTTTTTGCAGAAACGGGGTCTATGTTGCTTAGGCTGGTCTTGAATTCCTGGGCTCAAGTGACCCCAAAACTTGGCCTCCCAAAGTGCTGTGACTGTGGTTGTGAGCTGCCATGCTTGGGCTTCCTGGGTCTTTTTCACGAGCTGCCTCTTCATTTGTAAACATCTAGCCCATGGAGTGGTGTGGAGGATAGACTTTGAGGTGACCCCCATGATATCTGACACCTGGTTTTCACGCTTTTCTATAATCCCCTTCTCTTGAGTGTGAGTAGACTATGTGACTTACTTTCAGTCAATGGAAACAGGACATATACAATGACGTATATGTGATTACATAAGAGTGTTATACTCATCTTGTTAGAATCCTTCTCCCCTTTGCTGGCTTTGAAGAAACAAGTTGCTGTGAGTTCTACGTCCATAGGAAATGAATTCTGCCAACAGCATGACAGGACACAGAAGTGGATCCTTCCCCAGTTGACACTGTGATGAGTTCCCAATTACAGCCAACACCTTGATTTCCACCTAATACAGATGGACAAGAAGAAACACTCAGTGCCAGCTGCCCATCCGCACATGTTGTGATCTGCTCCCCTGCTCCCGCGCCCCTCCACCCAGCTCCAGGCCAGGATCCAGAGTTTCTGCTGTGTGGTCACCACAGGCCAAGCAATGAGCCACCTGGACAGTGTGTGCAGAAAAAGACACAACTAAAAAGAGTTCTCTCTGAGCCTATCTCCTGTTCACAGCACCTGGCCTTTGCCTACTCTAAGTTGCCATTTCCCCATACAAGCTCCCATCTTTATCAAACCATGACTCAGTCAGCTTCTAATCTAACTCCAGGATTTTCTCACAGATTTTTTTAAAAATAAGCTTATATAACATACATACAGAAGCATGAAGAAATTATAAGTGTATATAGCTCAATGCATTTTCACAAGTGGAACACCTTCAGGTTACTATCAGTCCAGTCAATGAGCAGAATATTACCAGCATCCCAGCATCATTCATTTTCATTAGTGTATGTTTTCCATTGTGTGAATATACCACAATTTATTTTTCCATTTTACTATTGAATGGCACTTAGGTAGCTTCTAGTTGGAGGCTATTACAAACAGAACTGCCATATTAACTGTTACATTTTTTGGTTAACATGTGTGCTCATTTGTGTTGGTCATTTTCTTAGCAGTGAAACTGCTAGGTCATAGAGCATGCATATGTTTGGCAGTAGATGATACTACTGAGCAGTTTTCCAAAGGGGCTTGTACCAATTTGCATCACTACAGTAGGGTATGCTAGTTTTTCCTCCACATCCTCACCAACATGTAGTATTCTCCATCTTCATCATTTAAGCCATTCTAGCAAATGTCTTCTGGTTTTTCTTTAACTCCTGCATTTCATCAATGCCTCTCTCATTCTTATGGAATTTCTACAAATGAGTTCAGGTGAGAATGTGTATTAGTTAGAGTTCTCCAGAGAAACAGAAACAGAACCAATAGGAGGTATATGTGTGTGTGTGTGTGTGTGTGTGTGTGTGTGTGTGTGTAGGGAGGGTGGAGAGAGAGAAACAGAGAGAGAAATTTATTATAAGGAATACAATATAAAATAATCATTCACACAATTAATACAGATTAAGAAGTCCCAAGATCTTCAAGCAGCAAGCTGGGGACCCAGGAGAGCTGATGTGAAGTTCCAGTCTGAGTATGAAGGCCTGAGAACCAGGAGAGCCGATGGTATAATTCCAGTCTGAAAGATGGCAGGCTTGAGACCCAAAAAGAACGGATGTTTCAGTTCAAGTCCAAAAGCCAGAAAAAAAACAATGTCCCAGCTCATAGTAGTCAGGCAGGAGGAGTTGCCCCTTTTTCACAGAATTAGCCTATTTATTTTATTCAGGCCTTTAATTGAATGGATGAGAGCCATTCACATTAGGGAGGGCAATCTGCTTTACTCAGTCTGCCAATTCAAATGCTAATCTCATCCAGAGCCACCCTCACAGACACACCCAGAATAATATTTAACTATTTGGGCACTCCATGGCCCAGTCAAGCTGAAACAGTTAATCATTATACCATGTTAGTTTGTCTTCTTGTCCGCAACTTTCTTTTAACTACGGTACAGTATTCCATTGTGTTATATACAAGCATAGTTATACTTCATGAAATGAAAGGGCCGGGCATAGTGGCTCACACCTGTAATCCCAGCACACTGGGAGGCCGAGGTGGGTGTATCATGAGGTCAGGAGATGGAGACCATCCTGGCTAACACGGCAAAACCCCATCTCTACTAAGAATACAAAAAAAACAGAGTCCCAGCTACCCAGGAGGCTGAGGCAGGAGAATGGCGTGAACCTGGGAAGCAGAGTTTGCAGTGAGCTGAGATCGCGCCACTGCACTCCACCCTGCGCGACAGAGTGAGACACCATCTCAGAAAAAAAAAGAAAAAAAAAGGAAAGAAAACAAGCATATTTATTATTTTGCCTAATACTATGTTTGTAAGTTCCATTTATATTATTTTTGGCTGCAGATCATTTTCTCATGGCTATATAGTATTTCATTGTGTGACTACATGAAAATGTATTCATCCAGTTGATGAACATTTGGGTGGTTTCCAGTTTGGGATGATTCATTGATTTTGACATCATGAATATTTAGGTTGCTTCTGATACATTTATTTAATAAGTTGCAAAGTCATCGTTTTGCATGTCTGCTTGTACAGATACATAAATGTTTCTGCTGGGTGGCCACAGGTTAAACAATGATCTACCTGGATCATGAATGGAGAGAAAAGAAAACAACCAGAAAGCTCTCTCTCCCCACCTATTCTCTGTCCATGGCATTTGCCATTTTCTCTCACTCTGCCCCTACCACGCTGTGACCTAACCAGCTTCTACCTTCTCCCAGGAGTTCCTCACAGATTTTTGTCTTATAAACAGTTTCTTGAAGTAAAGCATACCTACAGAAAAATTCATACATTTTAAGTATGTAGTGCAAAGAATTTCTGTGAATTGAGCACATGTAAGTAACTCAGATGCAGATGAAAAATTATTAGCATCTAGAAATGGAACAATGCATTAGAGGATATGTAATTCCAGCTTTACTAAATACTGATGAATTGCTCTTCAAAATTACCACGTCCACTAACTCACACCAGAAGTAAAGATGTACACCCATTTCCCTTTAATCTTGTCAGCACTTGGGGATAGCCACACACTAGCTTTCACTATGCTAATAGGTAAAAATTCTTACTGTTTTGAGTTATTTTCCTTAATAGTTAATATGGTCGAGCCTATTTTCATGCTTATTTGTTAGTTGGAATATGCTGCGCCTGTTTTGCTATTGAGTTGTTGTCCTGTTTTGACGCTTTCCTTAAGAGCTCACAGCTTATCCAGTTTTCTGCACAACTCACTTCTGTTTGCTGCCCTTCATTATAGACTTAATGGCTTCTCATCGTTAGAGCACTGTGCCCTCCTTGGGGCTGGATGGTTTATAATAAAGCTTTCCCAGGAGATCTCAGGGGGGCCATGTTCTTTAGTGGTGGCCACTAAAGCCCCTACCTCTTATTCCCAGTGTCATAAACCAGTGGCTGGACCTGTTTGGTTCACAGAGTTTCAGCGTGAGGAATCAGGTATCATGCTTGGTTGCCATATAAGCAGCTTAGTTCCTATTGTTTTACACCCAGCCTGCTACCCTCATTCATGTTACCTTCATGCCCCATAGATATTTGAGATTTGATGCAAACCAATCTCAGTAAAAGCACCACTGTCTAGGAAGTGGTGGAGATGGGTTATCAGCTCATTTACATCAGCAGCTGTGGGATCTTGAGCAAGTCATTTCACCTATTGGAGCCACTCTCTGCTAGCATAAAGGAGAACATAAAGCTACGGTCCTTGCCTATCTCACAAGGTTGTTTGGGAAACTGAATGAAAGAACATGTAAAGTACTTTGTGGGTTTTCCGTGAAACAGGAGCAGCTCTTAATATTCTTGCCTAGCCCTGTCTGTGGAGCCCGGGATGCTGCATTACCTCCTTTCTACCCTCGCCCTGAGTATTGGTCCTAGGTAGAAACTGAGGTGAATATACTGAAGGCACTAAGAATCTTCACCAGGCTGCTCCCAGTCATATCACAAGGTGTTGTGGCTTATTGACAAACACAGACCTCGTGTTTTTCAGAGAGCTGCCTTGTGAACACCTAGATAGAACTACGGGTGTGAAACACAAATGTACTTACTATTTGCCTACGCTTACGGAAATAAGAGCACACGACAGCGTAGATGGCAAGGTGAGGCTTTAAGTCAGAAAGCAACCTCAGCTGAAACAAATGTATAATTATAATTTGATCTCAGAAGTGGAAACATGACCTGAATCCATGTACCTACTGATTAGTCCAAATTCCTGTATTGTTGAAGCTGGAGCAGAAGTGGGGGTCCACTGTGGAAGTAACAAAAAGCACAACAGAACAGGGGTCCCATCCAGGGAGCCATGTTGATGGCTATGGGGAGCTCCCCCTTGCTCTTGGGGTGAGGCCCTGGCCCTGGGTGGGACTGTGGGGTGATGAGGGTTGTGCTGTGCTGGTGGTAATTGCCAAGGAGAGAGCAGCACGTAGATCCTCCCTGTCATCAGGCAGAGCTCTTCAGTGAGGTGGGCTCAGGGAGGGCTCTGTGCCTCTGTTCAGCAGAGCTGCAGCTGCTGCCCAGCTCTCAGGAGGCGAGCTGGACTCCCTCACTCAGCTGCAGGAGCAGGGACCGCGAGGCTCAACCCCGCCTGAGCCATGCCAGCCAACTTCACAGAGGGCAGCTTTGATTCCAATGGGACCGGGCAGATGCTGGATTCTTCCCCAGTGGCTTGCACTGAAACAGTGACTTTTACTGAAGTGGTGGAAGGAAAGGAATGGGGCTCCTTCTACTACTCCTTTAAGGTAAGTTTCCTGCCTGCGACTCTGCACACTGACATAATAATGAGACTGGTGGAACTTAAGAGTGTCAATTAAAGGATCATAGCCAGTATTGTGAATGAGTGTTGTTTATTTTCTTTACTAAAAAGGATTTTTAAAAGTCTGAAGTGCTAAAGCAACAAGCTTTAGTGTGCAGAGACCTAGACTGTAGTTTCTTAGGAATACAGGTGGCGTTTTTCTTTCTGATGCTGCTGGAAATGAGTGAATCATGAGTAACATTTATGAGTGGATGATTTTTACTTTCCCCTTTTCCTAAGGTGAAAGCACTTTTAATTAATCCTATAGCAGTACTTGAAATGTCTGTTTCTAGTAGGGGTTACAGCTATGAGTTTTTTGCTAGCAACACCAGAGGTGTGGAAAGCTCACAATCCCCAGGACAGTGACTGATGTGATGAGAAACAGCATTGAATAAGGCAGGAAGGACGACACTTTCTTTGATGATCCTTTTCATTAAACATACTGAGAAATAGATTTCTTTGAGGGTAGTTGATGATGCCACCATTTGCAACAATTTCCCTCCTAGAACAAATGAAAGACAGAGAGTTTGGTGAGATTCACCTTCAAAGTATCCAAGGGCCACACTGAGGAAGGATCTTCATTAAGCTAATCCTGTATTGTTTCTTATTCCGCAACAAGATCTTGTGGACAGAAATGAACCACACATTTGGGAAAACAACAGTTTCCTGTTTCTTGCCTCAGAATGCTGGCTTGTCAGGTTATTTCACACCCTGCCTAACAATATGTTTAGTCATTGCAATCATTCACAGGTCTCAAACTGGTCCTTTCCACCAAAGGAAAAAATACTTCAAAAAGATTCTAGTTGTTGCTTTGTTGGGTTTTGCTGTTGTTGTTACTCCTCTGTATGTTCTTGAAATGTTGGTTTTTACACAATGAGGTAACATTACTGTAATTTCCACCTCCCTACTGGAAGTTCATTTCTTTTGCAAGTATTCAGAATAAAACTTTCAGCAGGGTGCTGTCCCAGGAGTCAGACTTAAACTTCCAGGGCCCTAATGACTACGCAGCAAAGCAGAGCCTGATCAAACCACTCCTCCACTGGCTTCAGCGAAACCCTGGTCTCCAAATCACCTCCTAATGCAAGCACATACACAGCTCAGGTGCACAGCTCCACGATGTAGCAGGGAAAGTAAAATTAGAGTTTGTTGCTACTTAATGTTGACTGAATAATCACCTTTACGAAATCAGCCTGCAGACCCAGAGAGTCTATCTTGGCAGGCTTTGTGCACCCAGGAAGCACAGGACTCCACTTAGTATTGCTGCCTATGCAGCCTCTTTGATATTCTCAGAATATGACAGCAAGCAGAATGAAGAGAGGTCCTCCATGGCAAAGGGAATAATAATCAGCAATAAGGTGGTTATTCTGAGACTCAGGCAAGAATCAATCTCAGCTGAAATCTCATTTGCCATTTTTTGAATACAGCACCTACAGGGATATTTGGAATATGCGAAGAAACAAATCCCACCCTGCTCTCTCTGAGTGTTTGTCCTCTCTATCCTAGCAACATCATCGCCAGACGCTAAAGAGAATCACAGCATCTCTAGTTGATTCCTATTGATATGTTTGCAGCAAAATGGCTGGACCATTGGACAAGGAGAAAAGCAGAAAGAGAGGAATTATGTCTGGCCAGGAGCTTAGAGTGCTCAGATTCATTATTACAGAGATACGTGTATTGACTAAAACCCTGTGATTTTTAGTTACACAGTGATCAGTGGTGTTATTTGTGAGAACTTAGCTTACATTTCTTAGTGTAACTTTTTTTTCTATGATCCCCTTTGACCACAAGCAATTTTAATGCATTGTTGACACAGAAATAGGTCTGATGCAAGCCTTTGTTCACTGCGATTCATTTTATCTGACATACTAGAGAAGAAATTCAAAACCGTGCCCCCTTTACTGTCTCCCAAATGTATCCCTTTAATCCCCATTGCCTTTATCAAAAGCAGTAAAAAATAGCATAAAAATAAAAACAGCAACAGCAGTAAATGTCACAGAAATAACAGCAACAACCATACATCTCATTTACTTTGGGTATTCTTGGTGCCAAGAGTCATAGCAAGACTCACTTAGCAAGTGACCTCTGTGAAGTATCTCATTAAATTCTCACAATCCATGGTGTATCTTTCCATCCAGACCTGCCTTCCATCTTCATCTGTTTATCACAATTTTACCCACTCTATAAAGCTCAGCTTGGGTTGCTTCCTCCATGAAGCCCTCCATGACTCATCCCTCCCCGAGCTTCATTAGTGTCATGGACTGTACCTCTCTTCTTGCCACTTAATGCAGCTCTGTCTTAAACTGCTGTTTCCATATGTGTTGGGTGAATGTGTTACAGTCCTCAAGCTCCTTGAGTAAAAGGAATGCCTTATATTTGTTTCATATTTTCTCCCAGGACCTACCATTATGCTGGTCATACTCAATAAACATTGACTGTATAAACAAATTGTGATATGTTTTTTTCTTCCAATTATCAACATTTTGTCAAATAAGCAACAGAAAGCATGTATTCCCTGTGACAGAGGTGGGTGGGTGCTCTCACTAACCAAGTTTCCACCCATCAGCCCCTACCCTGCCTGGTCTCTATACTCACCCAGGTCCCTTTCTGCAAGCATGTTCAGCTTGTCTCTAATCCATTTCTAAGCCAATGAGACCAAGATCAGTTCTAGATTCCAGTGGGTAGGGTACGGAATTAGCTGAGGCACCATAAGCTGGTACCAAGTATCTGGTCCAGCCCTGGGGAATCCATCTCTACCGCATGGCAGCCTTACCTAGTCTCAGCTGTCTTGCTCAGTCCACTTACCTGGGCTTCTGACTTAGTTTCTGGGAAACTAAGAACATTCTAGTTCTTATCCTCTGAACCCCAAAGCTGTTTTGAGAGGAGACAAAACACCCCGTCTAGATCTTACTGGCACTTCCTTCACAGGCTTAGAGTCTGTTCCTTCCCCGACCTCCACCCTTGAATTCTAGCTTCTGCTCCCACCACTCTAACCTGCTCCACCTTCCTAAGCATGTGAGGCTCTTGGAAATGAGCAGGGAGGTCTGGGGTGGGTTCACCCATCCCATCTTCTACCATGGGCCTTGTGTAACTAACCCTACATGGTCTTGGGTTCAGGATTCTCAGCTCAGATGCTGGGTCCCTTCACAGTTTCCAGTTTTGTGTTCTTTTAAGATCACATCCAGCTCACCTCTTCAAGACCTAGTTCTTGGCATTAAGGAATTATATGCGCTTCAAGAATCTACCAGAAGTTTTCAAGGGGAAATGGGAACTAGCTCATCAGAAAATAAATGAGGTATCTGCATATAAGGCTGTCCAAATGCAAAACAAATACAAAACTCTTCACACAGAAAGCCCTTAATTTTGCTGGTGAATTCACCAGCAATGTTTCCTGAATCTCTGATACTTAATGAGAAACCTAATTAGAAGTAACTGGGAGGGAGACCTGTCTCAATTAATGAATTACCTAAATTATAAAATAATGTAAATGAAACTTAGTTTTATTACTCATAGGTGAGTGGAGAAACATGAACTAAGACTGCTAAATATCATCTAACAACAATCTTTTATTGAGCCTCCTTCAGTGGATAGTTACAAGTGATACGCGATTAGTCTAACTATCGTTTATATGTAAATGGTTGCTTCTAAGTGCTTGAGGGTGATTGGACACAGTTTGTTCCCTTTGTTTGTACACCCTCCCTGCCACACTGCCTTACTGTTAATTTTCTTAACACACTCTTCCTCCATTAATATAACAAAAGCAAATTTCACCTCAATGCATTATCTCACACTATGCTTTTGCAAGGGAGCTCAAATTAAGAAGCTTAAGTAGACCATGCTTGTTTTCACTACATTTCGGTTCATAACTCATTTCTAAGACCTTCTTCTACCTATCAAGTACTGGCATTTTCACCTGTGACTGTCACCTCAACGGCTCACAACTTTCCAGGGCTTGCTGTTCTCCCTTCCTGCCCTGGTCCCAGGACAGTGTCAGTGATGTCCTTCCTGGAATCCAGAATTCCTCATATTCCAACCCCCAAATGTATCTCCTGCAATTTGTAACCAGGGATCTTGCATTTACATCATGCATTTTTTATTATTTTCTAATTAGTCTCGCTCAGTATGTTCAATTTGAGTTTCTACAGTTGAATACTGTGGCTGCTCCTAAGGGAACTACTACTAGTTTTGCTCAGTTAAATCATTATTAAATACATTATTCCTTCCAGCCAGTTCTGCTACCCAGATCTAGCGCTCTGCTTTCTAATCCCTGACCCGGGGTAAACTCTACCATGCAGTGTGTCCAATTTCACTTCACGCAAATGAGAAAGGCTAAGGATGGCACGCAATTTCCAAACTATAGAGGCTAGTATTTGAAAAGGAAATCTTCCTCGGCTAAATTTCTCTTTGTGTTACTAATACATCTGATGGCAGGAAGCATAATCTTCGCTAATTCAGAATAAACCCAGTCATTGCAGAGCTTTTCAGCCCAGGAAGAGTTTTCACATTTTCTGGCTTCGGGAAGGCATCTAACTCCAGGGGCAGTGCTTCTGTAGTGCATTTCTCTCTCTCTCTCTCTCTCTCTCTCTGTGTGTGTGTGTGTGTGGGGGGGGTGGGGGGGTTGGTAAGGGATGGAAGGTGAAGAGAGTCTGATCTAATGAGGGATCTGAGCAAGTTGGCATCAGTTGAAGCAAGACCTGTCTGTCCCTCAGATGTGGTCATCCTCATTCTGGACCTTCATCTGGGTTCCCATCCGACCTGTGTCAGGCCCACACTGCTTTCTGGGGTAATGTCCCTTGGCCACATTATCTCCTGGTACAGGGTGCTTGAATCCCTGTCTCTCAATCTCGGCTATAATTTCTGCCTCCTTCCTAGAAATAGAAAGTTTGACTGCTCCCAACTTTGGGCTGCAGAAAACACAATGGAGTGTCTCTGGCCCTCTCTCATCCCACA